CAACAGGCTCAGCAGTTGTAACACATGCACCTCACACAGAGATTGTTAAAGTTGGAGCACATGAGTTTCGACATAAAGAAGGTATATTTGATGCCAAAGATGGGCGTTCTATGACTGCATTTTGGTTCAAACAACGCCTTCTGAATGGACAAGAGGTCAATTGTTCCTGGTTGGTGTGTTCACCTCTCCAAAAAGCTGCATACTGCTTTTGTTGTCTTCTTTTTCATCTACATGTGTGACATCCGAAAGTCAGTCTGCTTTCAAAACACAGCTATACAGGTGATATTGATGGACCAGAATTGTACAGAGAAATTAAAGACTGTAGAATGTTGATAAGTAAAAGATCACAGACCGATTTTCCTGAACCAATGGTTGCAACTGATTTCCTAACATTCATAACTTCATATGGTGAAGATGGTTTCCCAAATTTAAGAATTGCATTGCAGATTTTGTTAACAATTGGGGTTTCTACTGCTAGTTGTGAAAACTCCTTCAGCAAGCTGAAATTAATTCTTACATACTTGAGAACCTCAATGACTCATGAACGACTTAGTAGCTTGACAATATTAAGTATTAAAAAAGACGTACTTAATACCTTAAATTTTGATAGTTTAATTGATGCATTTGCAGCAGCAAAAGCACGAAAGGTTCATATAATGTAACCAACAGGTAGCATTCTGGTATTCAAACTAGATCTTGTAAAGTATATGTACAGTTTTGTAAACTAATAAAATTTGTTATTTGTAACTTAAGTAGTATTTTATCAATCTATTTTATAAACCATGTACACCACAAGTAACTGGCTTCTCATATAATACATAAGTTTCAAAACTAGAGATATAACAGAAATTTATTCTGCATGCTTGAAAGATTACTCTAGCTATGTGACTTTGAACAATACTGGATGACATAAATATCAAAATGGTTTACAAATTATGTAAGTACACCTAGTAGGTTATACTTCATTAGTTCCAGGTTTACAGTTGTGATATCGTGAGATGTTATATTGTGACTTTATTGTAAGTCTGTGTAAGGCGGTAATTAATTCTTTATGTTATTGTCATTAAGTGAGTAATGAGTCACAAAACAAATAATCAAAACATTTCAGAGGTAGGGGCACCAAAAGTGTCTTTGCCCCCAAGTGCTGAGAACCCTTGCTACACCACTGCAGGACAAAGGACTACATTCCCATTTCACTGGTTCATAAACATTATAATATAATGATTAGGGTTCTTGGTTTACTAAATTTTATTCATCTCTACACCCTGATGAAAAGAATGTATTACTGCCCGGGTTTTTGAATGCTTCTAATAAAATAAAATTTTTAAAAGTTACAGTTGTAAAGTGAGAATAGCACAAAGAGCTATTTTATGCTGAATTAATGAAATCTATTTTTTTGCTTGTGGCAAAAGTAACAAATGCATAAAGATAAAACAATAAATACAATGTAGGGTTAATTAGGTAAATGGAAGGATGAAATACTAATTAAAGAAATTTGGGGAAGACTGATCAGCATTACCTGTCGACTTAATTCCACTTTTTAGGCAAAACAATCAGTGGTTTGAAGGGCAACTACCATGTCTCACAACTTATAGATTTCAATTACACATTTCAAATTAGTGCCAGTAAACAGTGAGGTTCAGTGTTTTGGGACAACCAACAGCCTCCACTCAAAAACAAATGTATTAGATTTCCTATACTGGAGTGAGAAGATTTTTGCTCATTTGTACAAAACTGTTTGAATACAAAACTATTTGTGTATATGAATGGTTAATTCCATGCTCAAAAGTAAGTGTATTCAAAGAAGTCATGATCACAGTAATAACTGTACCAAGCGATACATCATAGCTAAGTTCCACAATTATAGTACTGGAAAAGAAGTATGAACTGTAACATGATTTGCTAACAGAGTAAAATTTAAGGAAATACCTCAGTTCTTTTCCACAAATTATGTAACCATTAAACATCAGTTGTTTTCAGGTGGCCTGACTTGTGACTTGCTTTTAACTAGCCCCATGGTGTGCAGACTGTGGGACAAATTCCCCTAAGGAGGCATGCAAATATAACTATTAGAGCTTATAAATTATATCTGAAAGTGCAAATTTAAAAGTAATGAAATTTTAAAAACTATCATACATATATTACTACTATTATGTAATATAGTAACAACAAATAACATGGGAAAATGGCAGGTACAGTATATACACAAATGGTTAGAATGGGGAGCTGCATCAGTGTGCGAGTTGCAAATGTAACAATTAGAGGTTAATTCCATGCTGAAAAAATAAACAGAAAGAGAGAATTCACAATCAAAATATTGTGCATTTCTCTCTCTCTCTTAAAACAGAACCATGTTTAGATTTTCATGAATTCCCAGTGACAAGGCTTTTGCATTTTAAATGTGTTTTTTTTGTTTTTTAATTACAAATATGTTTTGTAGGTTTGTTCTAATTTTCAAAAATCAATAAATTATACATATGAAGTTGAGTTATTTTTTAATCAGGGTTTATGCAATACAGTTTACTTTCCAATAAGAAGATGCAACAACTGAAAAATAAACAAGGAAGCAAAATGAAGTGGCAGTAACAGGTAATTCGGGAAAATATAATGGTATCTAACAACTTCAAAATTTGATTAAGTTTATAGAATAACATCTAGGATAATTGGCCAGGTTGTGTCAGTCTAGCCAATGAGAGTAATTACACATGACAAGATCTATGAGAAGGTGGCAATCAGCAAACTTGGAAAGGAAGTTGGGAAATAATAAAATTGTAAAAATATTAAGCATTAGCAATAGTTTCTAAGTGCAAATGAAGACCTGAAATTATATACACATGATTCGTTTACTTTAAAGATGTTTTTCTTCTAATAGAATTGGTAAAACAGTAAGTATATGTTACTGATAAAACTAAAAGTGTAGTCAGTAAATGTTTTTGTTTATGATTAGTTCCAGGAGTTTGGAATTCAGGTAAGGCTTTGAAGCATATTTATCTGGGCTGATCAGTATCTGACAGTATCTCCTGATGGCCTAATAGGAAACAATGTTGTTGTCAGGGTGAAATGTCCTGGTAAATAGAGAGAAAACACTACTGTTCAAAACAAGCTGTTTCCTCCCTTTCTGGAGAAGAAGAATGGCAAGCTACAACTGAAGAAAGCCAGTTTCCAACTAGTAATACCTCCAAAAAGAAAAAAGTTGAAAAAGGAAAAGTAAATGACCTGAAATCATTATTGAAGTACATTCTCTCTGTTAACCATGAAGTTTATCAGCAAATTACAGCAAGCCAAGAGCAAGTTGTAACTGATACTGATTGGATTGAAGAAGGAGAAAATTATGAATAAGTTACCTTTGGTAAAGTCACAAGAACTTTAGAATTTTACTGAAAAATATTTTATTTCCATTTGCCTGTTTACTTAACTTTAAAATACAAAGTTAAAATATTTCTTATTTTCTTTTAAACTCAGCATTTCACATAATCAAACTCAATGCCAAGCAAGGATTTGCCCTTTTGCTCTAAGCATAGTTACAGTAAACATTTAATTAGGTTGTTGTTACTTATGTTGTATTTTACTGAAGTTTCCATTCAAAACATTGTTTAAGTAGCTGTAGTTAACTGTTAGTTTATAACATTTTAGTAAAAAAAAAAAACATTTTCTTCTCTGTTAATACCAGGTTATATATAGTTTAGAAATCATAAAAACTGTTTTATTTTAGATCCTAAATGGTAATAAACAAAGATAAAAACTCCTTCATTCTGGAAGTTACTGAAACAAACATTTTAATGGCAAACAAATCTGTAACCTAATGTTTTAATACAAAACCAAAATAAAATACACAGTCACTTACTTTCCCAGTTAGCATGCTGAAGCTCTGGAATCATTTCATGCTTGTCACTGTATTCTTCCTAGATCAAAATAAATGATAAATTAACTCTGTAAGTAAAATATAATATTATAGATCTCCTTATTGAAAAATATTAACACAGAAATAAAGAAAGTACTTTAAAAACAAATGCTTTATATTTCAGCTAGATCTATATGTAACATTTTGTGAACAATAATGATGCAATAATGCATCAAAATCACATATCAACCCCCTGAAGCATATAGTTTATAAGTTTGCTGCACATTGTGCTTAAAGCTTTTACTGTAATTATTGACCTTTTTATTGAATTTTTCATTTCTAACTTTATCACTTGTGGTTTACTCTTCAAAAATATAATTTCTATTTCTTTCTCCAACCAGTCTCTCCTGAATTTGTTTTTAACCAAACTATCAAATTCTCTAACCTTCATTTCATCATGCTGCTCAATACCATTTGCTATTTTAAAAACTAATTCCAACTTTATATTAAATTAAAGTGCAAACCTTCAACCCTTTTTTTGCAAAATAAATTCACTCAACAAATACACAATTTTGCAAGACTGGTAAAACTTACTAGCCAGATTGTGATCGATCAAAAATTAGGTAGTTATACACAAGATACAGAATACATTGTTGTCGTATGGGATTGAAATAAAGATTATTTCTTTTAAGGAAGATCAACTTTTATTGTGTTGATGGAGTGGCAGAATAGGCATTAAAGCATTACTCCCATCAAACTTTCTTCCCTGATTATTTTTGAAATCTCGTTAACAACACCTGATAACAATTCTCATCCCTATAATCACAAGAGCCTTTTACATGTGAAATTTCCTCATCCCTTCCCTTTTCAATAATTTTAAATGAGCTATTATGTACTACTTTATTAAATTCACAAAGACCATGATTCTTTATCTTTGATTTGTTGTTAGTGATGAATTTCATCTTGTTTGGACTCATCTAGTGGTTGATTAAGAGATTACGACCATGGCTTAATGAAACAAGTCTGGTAGTTAGTCTAATGTTATGAATTTCAGACAAGCCGTCTTTAATTATGGTTTCTATACTGTGTTCAGTTTCATTTATATAAATGTTCCATAGTTAGAGGAAGTACAAGAGAACAAATAATTAAAATATCACACAAGTCAGTAAGTCAGTGTTGTTTTTTAAATTTTTATGCTTTTATAATTTTAAGAATTAATGATTGTAGCAGTATTTAACATAATGACATATATTATATGAATAGAAGTCACAAGGCAAAGAATATTTCTACCTTTGAAGCTTATATGTAACTAGAAATAACAAAGAAGTAACAAGTTTATTATATCCAAATTTGAGACTCAAACAAATATGGCCGTTGGAAGAATAGATAAGAAATGTGCAATGTGTTAATTGATAAAAACTGTTATTTCTGTTGAAATCAATTGCTTTGGTTTTCTGATTAGACATAAGTTTATTTGTTATTATGGAATTCACTATATAACATGAAATCTTCATTACTGTTTTAAGAAAAAAGGACCTAAATAAAAGGAATTAGCTTTTCCTTCATGGTGAACTAATAATCCTAATATCTGAAATGTTTTTTTTTTCTGTTTCAAATCTTTCATAGAAATATTAAGTGAAATATAAATAAAAAGAAAAAAAATTACAGTCTAATTAAAATGCTTCATAACTTTTATTTTCTAAACCAAGTCTTTGGAGTTATTGTACTGTATGTTATATATATATATGTATGGTATTCACAGTAAAACTGAAACAAACATTAACATTTTCCTAAATTCAAAATGTATTTCCAATAATACTTACCTCTGCTGACACTTATAGCTATTACTCGACTGCCAGGGTTTCAACTTTGCCCATCCAAGAATTGGTCTGATTTTTTCTCGCTTGCTCTGGTCTTTTATACCCCACTCAAGTGCCCTTAGCGATATTTGTCATGTGATACTCTCCACTTACATCAATGTGCTCTCTATCCTGGTACTGTATATAAGCAACTCATTCAGATAATTTTATCACTTTACCATCCAAGTCTCTAACACTGGCTCTTAGTGGGGAGGAAGGGTGGGAGAGTGTTAGTAGAGGTAAGTATTATTGGAAACACATTTTCAAATTAAGAAAATGTTAACTTCCAAAACATACCTACCTCTACTGCCACTTGTAGCTAGAATCCCACAATGAGAAAGTGGAGGGGCTGGTGAAAGCAGTATCCATACAGAAAGCATCTGTATAGATTAAGAGTGTGCCAAGATAAGAGTGGTATACAAAGGGGAGGAGCTGCACTACATCCAGAACAGGTATGCTCTTCATCCTAAACTTAGTACCTGTATCAAAGGTGGAATAGTACATGGGTAATCATCACTAAAGGCCAGCCCCAATCAGATAGCTGAAATTTCACAACTTGAGGTTGGAATTAAGGGGACTTGGTCCCTATATCCCACATTGGTGGCTAGGGCAACACCAAAGTGGACAAACTTTCTCCTCCACCTGAAGAAGCATAAAAGGCAACACTTCAGGCTGGGAATGATGGGATTGTGTATGTCTTACTCAACCAAAGGAACAGAACTCATCCTGTCTGGAATTATGAACATTCATCCACACTCCCCAAGCAAGTGGGCAAAGAGCTTTCCATTTCCCCCTGGAATTATGGAGAGGACATGGAACACTGTGCTCAACCAAGAACCCAGAATGGGACCACTCCATGTTCGAAATTACGAGGAGATATTGGACCTCCATCTGTGAACAATATACTAAACAGATATTGATCAAAAGAAGAGCCATGCACACCCCAACCAGATAACCAGGCATCAAATCTAAACTGTTATTGCGAGTAGGCTCCTGCACAGGCTGTTGTCACTACTACTGACATCTGGGAAAAATATCCAGGGACCTGGGTAGGAGAGCCCCCAACTTTGCCCTCTTCTCCAAGTGTGGAGAAAATCACTCAAACACTCTGGAGGAAAAGCCTCTGTCCACCACCTCAGTAACTGGAAACTGGGTGTAGTAAGGACTCTCTAGCTCCACTAGTAGAATATGGGGGTTAATGCTCACTGGGGAGTCCTGAGGAACAGTGCTCTGAAAACAGTGCAATGGGTGAACCAAGTTCCCTATATCATTAAAAGCAAACCAACCTCAAATTATTCAATCTGATGATCGGCAGGGATGGGAAGAATCGGCAACATCAAACTTGGTCATTCACAGACCTTGTGAAAAATGCCAATGTCAGTTGAGAAAGGACTCCATTGTGAACTGGGGAGATTCTGAGAATTGATTGATATGATAAAAGATTTATGATGGGCCACAAATTTCCCATCTGCTTGGGCACAACAAGTAAATGGGAAGAAAATCTCAGAATAATGGGATCAACTCTCTCTACTGCTCTGTTGACCAATGACTCTCAAATAGTTTTGGAAAGAAAATCTACACTCCATGGATCTGTTTGGGGTGGAAATACCACTGGTTTGGAGGATAATGGAGGTGAAGGAGTGAACTGAATGACCAACCTGATGCCAAAACCTGAAGTACTCATGGAGCTGTGGTGAAGGAATTCCAGGTATCCAGAAAATGTTGTAACATCACTTCCACTCCCACCTGCATAGGATAGTCACCGACATCATTGGCAACGGTCTGCCCAAGCAGAGGAGTCTTGAAGGTAAGAATGGAATATATTCTGAGTACCAATAGATTGAGGAGCAGAAACCCGGGGTCGGGACATATGATGAGTAGTCATGCCATGACTTCCAGTAGGAGTGAAAGAAAGTCTAGAGGCCAACAACGACAAGGAAGAATGCAAACGGCGACATCAAGTCATGATTCCAATGCCTCTGGGATGCCCACAAACATCGAAAGATGAAGAAAACGAGCCTCACGTAACTCACGAAGGGCTACAGCAGATAGACAATTTCTCTCCAACAGGGAATCTCTACCCAATAAATCCCAACAACATACAAGCCAGGAAACCAAAGAAAGAGCAGAAGTTGACAATCTTACCAAGGTAGAAGTCAGCAAAGGACCCAATCCGTCCTCAAATTGATGTGGGGAGTACTGATAGGCTTCCAACAAAATCTGGAGGGGAGATAAATATCTCAGAACAGTAGTGAGTGTCAAACAGATCTGTGATCTGTTCAAAGTGATCAGGGTCTCGTCAGAAACCCCACATATCCAAATGAGGATAAAGTTTTTGGGAATATAAATATACATCCTCCTGGTGGATATAAGCCAAAGCATGCTGTTCAAACAAATGTGGGGGCAAGGCATAGCTATCCTGTCATGTAACTGAGCAATAAATATCCCAGCATGAACAGCAATATTAAGTGAAGGAGGAAAACTAAGTAGTCACCTTCAGACCATTCAGCCATCAACGAAGGGGTAGATTCAAAGGCAACTGGAAAAAAGCCGACAAACCTGACTGACTAACTGAAGAAATGGAGCAGGAAGTGGCTGATCCAAATTAGTCTCATGAGAATCCAATCTAGTAAACAAAGGCACTGGAAAAAGAGAGTCCAAATTCTCTCGACTGTCCTGGATCATTGAGAAAAGGAGCCTCAGAATCCCCCAGACCAAATATATGTCTCCATCTCACAAAGAATCAGCTCACTAAACTAAAAGTACCCCCCTTTCCTGACTTATGAAAATGCTAGATAACAGATGGAATAGAGGAGTGCTGATTAACCTCTGTGCTGGAAACAATAACCTGTGAATGCCTGAAAACATTGTTTTGCAATTTTTTAAGATAATAATTAAAAAATATAAATTATACATAAAGCCACTAGGCTTTGCATAAATCTTAACTAAAGATGTTAACTATCACAGCACTTCTGTAGAAAAACCCACGTCTAAACGCTTTGTCGAGAAAAAGTGATAAAATTATCTGAATAAGGTGCTTATATACAGTTCCAGGATAGAGGGTGCATTGACATAGGTAGAAAGTATCACAAGACAAATATCACCAAGGGCAATTGAGAGGGGTATAAAAGACTGGAGTAAGTGAGAAAAAAATCAGACCAATGCTTAGATAAGCAAAGTTGAAACTTTGGAGGTTGAGTAA